AGGAAGACTATGGGTAGCACCCAATTCATTAAATAAGCTTCCCCTACCCTCTAAAAGAAGGATGGGGCATTTTTGGTTTAGACTAGGAAAAATATGAATTTGCATAAACCAATTTTATTAAACAGCAAAACTGAATGCTCAGAAGTTTACATGACCTTTCACACAGTACTGATTTTGCAAGTTTGAATGGCTCTGAAATAGCATGTCAAGCATTCTGTTGTAGTTTGCTTCTATGTTGTTTTGATGAACAAAGTAACCCAAAGCAATCTGAAGAGGACATTTATTTCAGTTTACAAGTTCCAGCCCATCATCTAGGGAAGACAGGATACAAGCTTAAGGCAGGAACCTGGAGGCAGGAACAGAAGCAAAGACCATCGGAAAATGCTGCCTACTGATTTGCTCTCCCAGCTTACTCAGCTACTTTTCTTATATTGCATAGGCCCACCTGTCCAGGAATGGGACCACCAGTGAGGTAGGCCCTCCATTTCAACTAGCAATCAAGAAAATTCCCCACAGCAATGCCCATAGTTCTACCTGATGGAGGTGGTTCCTTAACTAAAATCTCATCTTCCAAGGTTTGTCTAGGTCTGTGTTAAGATAGCAGAAAGTGACTAGCACAGGTTCTAAAGAAAAATTAGTGTAGACTGTTGAGATCTTGAAAGAAGTAGTAATGTGGCCTGTCCAATAATTTTGTGTCCCCAGCAAACAGCATGGTGTTGACACACAAAATACCTATTTGCTGAATGAGTGAATGAATGAATTTGAAACTCATAAAAAGCAGGAGAGTCATAATGCACACCCACTGAGACCCTGGCTTTCATGCCAGGTACTGAAAGAAGCTGCTGAAGTGCTCTTCATCAAATAAGCCATAATTTATGATCTCTAGAATCAAGTCAAATTTCAAAAGTAAAATAGACATGCACACCATACCAATTTTAACTTCTCATACTCCTTTGCAGGAATTTTAAGGATTTCACACTCCTCTTCAGTCACAACTGAAAACGAAGGTTCATTCTCTTCAGTATGAGAGGCAGCTTCCAATGATCCAAAAGTATCCCATTGTCTCAGCTGTGAAAAATATCAAGATGCAGGCAGACTTCAGGAGTGCTCATTGACTCCTACTCGTACAGATAGCAGTGAGAATTGTATGAACAATCTAGGTAGGCCTGTAAAAAGACTGCATTAGTACTTCTAGTACTATGAAACAAAGGTCCCCTCATCTTTTCAGGGATGATTCATGCATATCCAAGCATTCCTTTTTCTTAATACATTTTCTGTCTTTTGGTAAAATCAAGAAAATGGCATAAGAAAGGATCTTGCTTTTTTTTATTCACTCATGCCTTTTAAGTCAAGAACATATTTGGCATATAGTCATAACTAATTATTTGATGAAAGAAGGATAAAAATACTAAATATACAACTCCTTTATTAACAGCCTTGTATGTTTGTAGTGACAAATGAATACAGTGTTATGTCATGGATAAATCATTCCATACGTGTATTCATGTAGTGTTATCTAATTTAATATATGACAGACAAATATTAAACAGAGAATGTTATCACTAGAATCTATAGGTTACCATGGTAAAAAGAAGCAATTCATAGGCACATGGAAAGAACTATAGAGATTATAAAGGAAAAGTAGTACATTTACATGAGGAATTGGACTTCCTTAAAACATCAAATAAATATGTCTACTCAAGATACTGTTTGGTGGGCCATAGTCACTATTGTATGTAAAATACAGAAAAAGAAGGATTCTTTTACTTCTTGATGAAATAAATACTTGAGCTTGACATAGTAATCCCAAAAGATAGAGAATGTTTAACCAGAGAATCACTGCTGAAGTCAAAATGATCCAGTGCTTTAACTGGGAAGAGGTCATGAGAAGTTGAGTTCTGGAGCTTGTTAGGATGTGGGACAGAACATAAGATTCACTACCTATGAGTGAGTACATACCACGTTTGTCTTTTTGTGACTGTGTTACCTCTCTCAGAATATTTTCTTCTAGTTCCATCCATTTTCCTGCAAATTTCAAGATTCCATTGTTTTTTTCTGCTGAGTAGTACTCCATTGTGTAAATATACCACATTTTCTCTCTAATGACCCCCTATGGAAGGCCTCACCCTCCCTGGGGTGATATATGATAGGTAGGGTATTAGTTGGGGGGTGGTAGGGGAGAAGGGGAGGGAGTGGGAACTGGGATTGACATGTAAGACAATCTTGTTTCTAATTCAAATTTAAAAAATTAAAAAAAATAATTTTCACTACCATGAAAGATGAGAAACTGGAGTTGATCTTAAAGCCTAGGAACTCTGAAGAACACTGGGCATGCAAAATGCAGACAAGATAACCTGCATCAACTAATTCATGAAAGAAACAGGAAGTTAGTTTTTAGCTGTGATCTTGAAAGTTTTCAGAAACGGTCTAGCTCTGCAATGTGCATGTGCGAGTGTTCCTAATTTCACATAGTACAAGAGGCACAAATGACTAGTTAATGTAAGTTCTAGTAACAACACAGGAAGATAAAATGTTTAAATGCATGTTTAAGTTTAGGAAGAAAGGATCTCAGCAGAAGTCAGTCACCTTAGGATGAACAGTTAACAAGATGAACACAAATGAAGGAAAAAAAAAAGAACAAAAATATTTTGGAAGGAAAAATAACTAAATTAAAACTACAAATAAAATTTACTGAAAAGATAGATTATTTATAGAATAAAGCAAATCAAACTGAATTTATATACAGCATGCAATTAGTGCTTAAAATGTATAAATGTGTAAGGAATAGAAACAAGGGGGTTGAACACATTGGAAAATGGACAGACAACATGAAGCAAATACCAGACAAAAACTCCATTAAGAATCCAAAAAAAAAAAAAATGTGGGAAACATGGTCTGTGAGTGACAGTGATTGCGAAGTTCAGCCTTTCAAATAAAGGCACATATAAAGAATGTGTTGATCTATGTTCAGAACTCACATTGTGAGTTACGAGATGAACCCTAATTGTTCTGCTTGCTCTTCCAGTTCTCTCCTTACAAATCTGTTATTTACCAAGAATTTCAAGCAGATATTTTATCTCTCATGTGTCTCAGCATGTCTAATTGTTATAAGCTGGCCAGTCAAAATTTTTTAGCAAGCCATTATAAAAGAAGTTCTCCATGACTTCTAAAAACTTATGGATGCTTTCTTTCTTGATTAGTTAATCAATGACATTGGAGCTCTTAATATTAATTGTGAAATTGTAAGGCTTTCTGCCAGTGGGCGTGTCAGAGTAGCAGCAAGTTGCAATTGAAGTTACAGGTGACAACCCACCAGAAGGGCATTCTCTAATAGGCCAAACTTGTTTAGGAAATGCCACAGAAGTAAAGACCCTGGAATAAATTTTGATTCTTCTGTGTCTCTACATGTTTGCTGCAGCTCTCTTTAGCATGGTGTGAGTGGACATGGGGAGTTCTCCACTGCCTGTAATATAGTGTGCTTATCTCTTGGAAACATCCTGTTCTACTATGCATATTTACCTTTGGATTTTCAAGTAGATGACACCTCCCTAACTGTACTGTCTAATTTGATAATAATAATAATGATAGTTTATGCAGAGTTTTGATGAATAAAAATAAATGCAATGGTATGTTTCAGTCATGGTCTGTGAGTTTCACCTAAGAAGATGCATGGATTGTAACTCAAGGTAACAATTAATAATTGAGTCCCAGTAGCCCAGCAAGTTTAAATTCTTTTAACCTTAATGTTGAAAAATGTGTTCACAGGTCTCAGAGTGCATCACAGCTGAAGCAGAGATTTGAAACTAACAAAGACTAAGATGTTTTTGCTAAATAACTTTCAGGAAAAAATTCCAAGAATACAATCTAAAGTTTTAGAAAGGTACATATTTGAATGCAGAACCATTTAAGGTTAGGGAACAAGAAAAAAAGCAGCCCAGTTATTACTGGCTGGCATACTCTTCTTGATAAGTTTGGTTGATGACCAAAGGTGATATATCCATTTCTGCCCTCAATCCTCTGATATGAAAAAATAGACTATTGATGAATGGATATGTACCCTAATGATTTAAAGTAGACCTGATTGATTCTTTTTCATATATAAAAAAGTTTAGGTTCTATATTTGGGGTAGGACCTAGGCCCTCACCCTTTTATCTAGGCTGAAAGAGTATCACTTCATAAGGAATGGGATCCCAAAGCCCATTCATGCACTATGAATATGGTTCCACTGCCAGATGCCCCATAGACTATCCAGGCCCCCATGGGAGGCCTCACACTCCCTGAGGAGTGGATGGAGAGTGGGATGTGGGGTTGGTTGGAAGAATGGGAGGACAGGAAGGAGAGAAAACAGGGATTGGTATGTAAAATAAGATACTTTTTAATTTAAATAAAATTAATTTTAAAAAGTTTAGGTTTGTGATTCCTTTAAGATTCTTTATAAGATTGCCTTTCAAGATAAGTAGCAATACAATTGGCCATTTGTTTATAACTGCAAAATGTAGCCTGCCAGTAAAACCTGACAAGAAAACTTGGCTTGCCTACACAGTTAATCTATAACAAGTTGCTTGGGTATGAATGTATGTGGGTTCTTGGGATAATTTGTTTTTCACCTGTAATGCATAAATGTTTAATCATGTGAGAAACATGAAAAAAACATGTTTTTACCTATAATAATTCACTTGAGAAATGGAATATAACTGTTTTGATTCTTGTACTGCTTGGAATATGTTGGGGTACAAAAGCTATGAAAAATATATGAGAGGACAGATAGAGAGAAGAGATAAGAGAGAGGAGGAGAATAATGAAGGAAATCATCAAGAGAGTGATGGGGGATGGATGTCCTATATGCTGACAATATATGTTTCTCTTATTGGTTAATGAATAAATGCTGATTGGCTAGCAGCCAGACAGAAAATATGGGTGTGGCCACCAAACAAGGAGAATTCTGGGAAAGTAAGGCAAAGAGGAGCCACAAGGGAGATTCCATGTAGCTGCTGGAAATATAGGAGGCTGGGCATTCTCTAGTAAGATAAGGCCATGTAGAAATACATAGATTAAAAGTTGTGAGTTAATAATTAAAAGAGAGCTGAGCCATCAGCCATAAATTTTATGATTAATATAAGCTTCCGTGTGTCTATTTGGTTCTAAACGGCTGTGGGACCAAGTGGAACAGAAACAGAGAGTTTGCAAATGCCCTTTTCCCTAAACTCCCTAACCCAGCTGGAGGCTGGCCAGCCAAGACAGCAGTAGCTTTTAGTACATTTCACATTTATAATTGTTTCATTGAATTGTTTTTACATTTTTCAATTTTTATAATATTTCTACTTTGTTCTGTAAATATGGCCATCTTCAGGGCTCAAGTAAAATAACTTCCAACCTGGAATTTATGTTAAATAAAATGGCAATGTAGAGTTAGAGAAAAACATACAAGTTTCTGGTTCTATATATTCCATATAGTATGTTGAACAGATAATTATAAGATGAATTTTAGCCAGAAAAACACAGTACCAAAAATAAAAAAATGCAAAGAATTTGAATACTATGTTGGTAAGTGTAAATAACATTCTTGATAACTAAAAATTTAAGTGAACAATAGAGAATGTTTCTAACATGTTTATATTCTTTGCACAAAGCAGACACTCTACCAATAAGCTACATTTGTAGTCTTTAAAACAATTATTTTGAGGGACAATTACTCTAGGTTAACCTGGAACTTAAGAAACTTTTGCCTCAAGTTTTAGGAGAAGCTAGGATTAGACAACATGGTGCTAAATCTATTTTACAAGCATTTAAATATATATATTGATTATTTCTCCCTGATGGCCAGTTGTACATGCCAGTGCAACTGGACTAAGGAAGTAGGTAGCTGGAAAATATTATTTCTGAGTGTGGTGTGTGTCTGGGTATGGTCTACTTCTGGGTATTGTGTGCTCCTGGGTGTGGTATGCCTCTGGCTGTTGTGTATCTCTGGATGTGGTGTATCTCTGGGTGTGGTGTGTCTCTGGGTGTGGTATGTCTCTAAGTGTGTTATGTTCCTGGGTGTGGTTGCCCCTGAGTGTGGTGTGATCCTGGGT